CCACACGCGCCCCTCAAACGCCACACGCGCCCCTCAAGGCCGCACGCGCGCACACCAGCCCCGCACCCGCACCGCACCGCACCGCCCCGCACCGCAGCGCACACACACACACACCTACGCAGGAGAAAGGCTGTCAAGGCTTCTGCTAGTCCGGGGCCCGCACGACTTTCCTCGCGCTTTGCTCACGGACCGGGGGGCCATTTCTGTCCGCGCTCAGTCCCGGGTCTCTGCGCGCCGCTCCTCCTCAGGAGAAGACCCGGACCGAGAGGCCGCCGGACACCGCGCCGCGCCGAGCCCCGCGCAGCCCGGACGCCGCGGCCGCAGCCGACCGCGCAGAAGCGCCCGGAACCCGCCCCGGCCCGCGGCGAGGCCGCCTCGGGCGCAGACCGCGGGCTCGGAGCGCGCACGCGCGGCCACGCCCCTCGCCCCGGCCCCGGCCCCGTCTCGCGAGAACTCAGGTCTCGGGCGGGGCCGAGGCGGAAGCGCCGCAGCCCCGGACCCGCCCCGCGAGCTTGTCGGCCGCGGCCCCGAATCTGCTGCTCGGCGTCAGGTGACTTAGGCCCGACCCTGAGCCCGGACCGCCGGCGGAAGGCGATCGAATCTGCGCTCGAGAACCTGGAGGTGTCCCGGTCCCGGAGGAGGGACTTGGGGAGTCTCTCCGCGCACTGTCCGGCCCCGGTCCTCCGGAACTTGGTCGGGGAGTCCTGGGGTCCGGGGCCCCAGCGGAGGGCGGTACCTGGGTCTGGGGTCTCGGAAAGAGCCTGCTGGAGCCAAGGGGCCCTCCCTCCCTGGGGACAGACCCCTCGGTCCCGTGTCCATGGGGGCACCGCGGACCCTCCTCCTGGCCCTGGCTGCTGGCCTGGCCGCCGCCCGCCCGCCCAACATCGTGCTGATCTTTGCTGACGACCTCGGCTATGGGGATTTGGGCTGCTATGGGCACCCCAGCTCCGCCACCCCGAACCTGGACCAGCTGGCAGCAGGGGGGCTGCGGTTCACAGACTTCTACGTGCCTGTGTCTCTGTGCACACCCTCTCGGTGAGGAGGGGGCTGCGCCCCTTCCCCGCCCCTTCCCCGCCCCTCCATCCCGTTCCTCCCGGATGTGAAATGCATTGCAGGAGAGAGGGAAAAACGTCTGTCTCTCTCCCTCTCTGTCTCCCTGGGGAAGGCCACATTTCTGTCTGACTTGTCCTACAGGGCCGCCCTCCTGACCGGCCGGCTTCCGGTTCGGATGGGCATGTACCCGGGAGTCCTGGTGCCCAGCTCCCGGGGGGGCCTGCCCCTGGAGGAGGTTACCCTGGCCGAGGTCCTGGCTGCCCAAGGCTACCTCACAGGAATGGCTGGCAAGTGGCACCTTGGGGTGGGGCCTGAGGGGGCTTTCCTGCCCCCGCATCAGGGCTTCCATCGATTTCTAGGCATTCCATACTCCCACGACCAGGTAGGAACCCCCGGGACCCTCAGCTACCCACCCACCTCCCAAAGTCCCCAGCCCTTGATCCTCCCTCCGCCGCATCTGCCAGCCCAGCCCTCACTGGAGCTGCCCCCCTCAGGGCCCCTGCCAGAACCTGACCTGCTTCCCCCCGGATACACCCTGTGATGGCGGCTGTGACCAGGGCCTAGTCCCCATCCCACTGTTGGCCAACCTGTCAGTGGAGGCACAGCCCCCCTGGCTGCCTGGACTAGAGGCCCGCTACATTGCATTCGCCCGTGACCTCATGGCTGACGCCCAGCGCCAGGATCGCCCCTTCTTCCTGTACTATGCCTCTCATGTAAGTGATCTTGGCCCCATGCCCCGGCTGCCCATGACCCCTACCCAGTGCTAACTCCAGTCTTTGCCCCCAGCACACCCACTACCCTCAGTTCAGTGGGCAGAGCTTTGCAGAGCGTTCAGGCCGAGGGCCATTTGGGGACTCGCTGATGGAGCTGGATGCAGCTGTGGGGGCCCTGATGACAGCCATAGGGGACCTGGGACTGCTTGAAGAGACGCTGGTCATCTTCACAGCAGACAACGGGTATGCCAGCAGGATGGCGGAGTGCTCCCACCTGTCACAGGCCAGGACCCTGGGTGCCTTGCAGTTCAAGAACATAGTGGGTAAGGTGGTGTCAGGAGACACTGGCCACATTGCTGGAACTGATAGTGCGCCAGGAGACACAAGTGCACAGAAAACTGGTTTTGGTAGGCCTGGGAGGCCCTGGGCTCGTGCTGGGCACTTCCAGGCAAGTTTTGTGACTTAGAGATGTGGGGCCACTAGTCACCTTCGGTGGCTCAGAGGCTGTGGCTCCATGGCTCATGATCTCCTCCTGTGTCCAGACCTGAGACGATGCGCATGTCCCGAGGCGGCTGCTCTGGCCTCCTGAGGTGTGGAAAGGGGACGACCTACGAGGGGGGTGTCCGAGAGCCTGCCTTGGCCTTCTGGCCAGGTCACATCACTCCTGGTCAGTCCGCAGGCCTTCTCCTTGGGAACCATGGCCCTACCATCCCAACCCTGATGGTGAACTGAGTGACCCAACAGCCTCCTGCCCCCAGGCGTGACCCACGAGCTGTCCAGCTCCCTGGACCTGCTGCCTACCCTGGCAGCCCTGGCTGGGGCCCCGCTGCCCAATGTCACCTTGGATGGCTTTGACCTCAGCCCCCTGCTGCTGGGCACAGGCAAGGTAAGACCAGTGACCCCTGATCCCAGCTCCTCGGCCCCTGTCCTGGGGTGAGTGTGGGCAGTGCCTGAGAGTACGTGCCTCAGCGCCTCCTGCATTGAGTGGCATCCAAGTGGTGGCACGTTTCAGGTTCTTGGGTGGGTGAGAAGTGGTCCACGTCCAGGGCCTCACACCAGGTCTTGCAGCTCTGGGTATGTGTGATGCTCAGGGCCTGTCCCGCCGCATAACCCCTGACTCTGTCCCCAGAGCCCTCGGCAATCTCTCTTCTTCTACCCGTCCTACCCAGACGAGGTCCGTGGGGTTTTTGCTGTGCGGAGCGGAAAATACAAAGCTCACTTCTTCACCCAGGGTAACTCCCTCCCCATGGATCCCTTCCCCTGACCTGCAGACCCCTCCAAGGAGCCCCAGATCCCTGGCCCCTTCTCTCGCTCTTGCCTGTGCTCAGAATTGGCCCCCTCCCCAGGCTCTGCCCACAGTGAGACCACTCCAGACCCTGCCTGCCATGCCTCCAGCTCTCTGACGGCTCATGAGCCACCACTGCTCTATGACCTATCCGAGGACCCTGGTGAAAACTACAACCTTCTGGGGGGTGTGGCCAAGGCCACCCCAGAGGTGCTGCAGGCCATGAAGCAGCTTCAGCTGCTCAAGGCCCAGTTAGATGCTTCTGTGACCTTCGGTCCCAGCCAGGTGGCCCGGGGTGAGGACCCCAACCTGCAAATCTGCTGCCAGCCCACCTGTACTCCCCACCCAGCCTGCTGCCACTGCCCAGATCCCCATGCCTGAGGGGCCCCTGGGCCTGCCTGGGCATGTGATGGCTCATGACTGTGAGCCTGTGGGGGAGGTGCAGGTGGCGTTTGTACCTGATAATGTAATAACAGCAGTTGAGACTTGCAGGTGTGACAATTCATCTAATCCTGTGGTAATGCTGTGATGTCGGTGCCGTTCCCCTGTGGCACAAATGAGGAAACTGAGGTCCAGAGAGGCTCAGGACTTGCCCAAGTCCAGCTAGATCGCTCAGCCAGAAAGAAGTTGGGCTGGGATTTGAACCCTGGTGTCATGGCTCTAGAAGCTGCCCTGGCACTTTGGCGATCTGCGTGGGTCATTGCACACATGCGCACGTCAGCCATGAAAACGTGGGGACATCTGTTCATGGGAGCAGCGCCATGTGCCTGTAAATGCCAGTAGCAGGGTGGCAAGGGTGTGAGGGTGCAGTGGCCAAAAGACTCAGAAGATGCAAAGTGCCTGAGAGAGAGACAGAATTTTCCCCAAGAAGAAGCGTTCTTAGAGTCACACACACTAGACCTCCTTGGTTCTTATCAGAAACCTGTCTGAAGCCAGGTGATGAGTTGCACCCTCCAGGTGTGGATAAGGGGCCCAGAGTCCTAGGAAGGCACAGCAGCAGCCCCTGAGACAGCCCTGCTGGGCCCCCCACCCTCCTAGGGCTCTGCATTTCACCTGTGCTCACCTTCTGCTCCTGCCTTCACCTTTTGACCCACAACGAATGATTCTCCACCCAGCAGATAAAGTGATCTCTTAAAAATATCTATTGGCTGGATGTGGTGTCTCATGCTTGTAATCCCAGCACTCTGGGAGACTGAGGCAGGCAGATCACCTGAGATCAGGAGTTTAAGACCAGCCTGACCAACATAGAGAAACCCTGTCTCTATTAAAAATACAAAATTAGCTGGGTATGGTGGTGCAAGCCTGTAATTCCAGCTATTCAGGAGACTGAGGCAGAGAATCACTTGAACCCAGGAGGCAGAGGTTGTGGTGAGCCAAGTTCATGCCATTGCACTCAAGCCTGGACAACAAGAGTGAAACTCTGTCTCAAAAAAAAAAACACCATCTGTTAGGCTGTACATGGTGGCTCACTCCTGTAATCCCAGTGCTTTGTGGGGCTGAGGTGAAAAGCTTGCCTGAGACCAAGAATTCAGACCAGCCTGGGCAACATAGTGAGATGCCAACTCTAAAATAATTTTTTGTTTTTTTTGTTTTTTTTGTTTTTTTTTTTTGAGACGGAGTTTCACTCTTGTTACCCAGGCTGGAGTGCAATGGCGTGATCTCGGCTCACCGCAACCTCCGCCTCCTGGGTTCAGGCAATTCTCCTGCCTCAGCCTCCTGAGTAGCTGGGATTACAGGCACGCGCCACCATGCCCAGCTAATTTTTTGTAGTTTTGGTAGAGACGGGGTTTCACCATGTTGACCAGGATGGTCTTGATCTCTTGACCTCGTGATCCACCCGCCTCAGCCTCCCAAAGTGCTGGGATTACAGGCTTGAGCCACCGCGCCCGGCCAATTTTTTGTTTTTTGAGACGGAGTCTCACTCTCTCGCCCAAGCTGGATACAATGGCGTGATGTTGGCACACTGCAACCTCTGCCTCCTGGATTCCAGCAACTGTCTTGCCTCAGCCTCCTGAGTAGCTGGGACTACAGGTGCGTGCCACCACACCCAGCTAATTTTTTTTTAATTTAGTAGATACAGGATTTTACCATGTTGGCCACGGTGGTCTCGAACTCCTGACCTCAGGAGATCCATCTACCTCAGCTTCCCAAAGTGCTGGGATTACAGGTGTGAGCCACTGTACCCAGCCAACAATATCTGTTTAATTAGCCAGGCATGGTGGCAGTTGTCCTAGAAATTTGGGAGGCTGAGAGGAGAGGATCACTTCAGCCCAGTAGGACGAGGCTGTAGTGAGCTATAATCGTACCATTGTACTTCAGCCTTGGAGACAGAGTGAGAGCCTGCCTGTAAATAAATAAATAAAACATGAGGTTGGGTTTGAGCAGCTATTCCTGCTGAAAATTCCACAGGCTTCTCACTCAAAATCCAAACTCCTTACAGTGACCCAGTTTGCCCTTGAGGCCTCCACCCCTGCCCCTGTCCCCCCCAGTCGTAGTGGGCTGGCCTGGCTGTTCCCTCCAGCAGCAATGCTCTGCCTCCATTGTTGGCCTCCTCTGCAGGGAAGGACCGTCTGAGTACCTGCCTGTGTCTGCGTGGCATGGCACACTGATGCCAGGCCCATGTGCCTGCCCAGATGGCCAGTCACACAGCAGGTGCTCCCTCAGTGTTGGCCAACTGAGAGGAGCACCATCCAGTGTTCAGACACCTCCCCGTGGCAAACGCCATTCGTTGCCTACCAGACGGCCACCTCCTTCCCTATGGGTGCCCACATTTTTCAGTGCTCGGCAAAGGCCCCTTGATCTTGAAGTTGTAGCCTCTTTATGTCCCAGGAGGGCAGTGACCAGCCTGAGCCAGTCAATCCAGTGATTGGTTCAGGAGTAGCCTGTGACCAGGATTCCTAGTAGTGAAAGACTGGGGCAGCCCTGGGGGTGAGGACCTTGACGAAGCAGCCATAGGTCCTGACTGGCCACTGGGCAGCTGCTAAACCAGCGTCTCCAGCTGCCTACCTGGAGAGCTCCAAGTGCAAGAAAATAAACCCTGCCTGTTGAAGCCACTGCTAGTGAGGGTTCTATTTTTTCTAGCCAAAAGCCTTGCTGGAATGTGGCCTGTGAATGGTTTGTGTGGCGGTCTCATGTGCCTGTGTGAGCCCGTATTGTCAGACTGTGCTGGGGACCCTTCGTGCAACTGTTCCATCATTTTTCATCTGGTTTGAGGGCTGCATTGACCACACCCCAAGTCTGCTGTCTTGCAGTCACCCCCATAGAGTGGTGGTTTCCTTGGGGTGCCCAGCAGTCCCTGATGCTGGCACAAGGAGGTTCTCATGCACTTGTGGTCCAAGTGGTGGCATTGACCCCAGAGGCCACTGTGATTGACAGTGAGGGCAGAGAGGAACTGAACTGGGTGCATGATCCCATTATCACATGGAAAGACCAAACTCCCTAGCAAGAACTAAATGAATACTAACTCTCAAGCACAGTCGTCAGGGACCTCCTCCAGTTCTGCTGCTCCACTTCCTCTCACTTGGGTAGTGTGCATTGTGCATAACTGGGTTAACCCAATCAGTGTGTATGCACCAGCACTGTGCAATGCTGGGGCATGGCGTTCTCAGGGGAGACCCACCCCGCACTCGCCGTGCTTACAGTCTAGCAAAGGAGATCAGCTTAATCCCAGGATGTCAGATGCACCTGAGATTTCAGTGTGACAGAAGTCACTACCTCTGGTAGGATAGGGTGTGTGGAATTGCCTGGCCAGGGACACCAGAGAACCTGGGGGTCCTGTAAATGTCCCAGGTCTTGAGAGGGTTACATGATGCATGCACATGAATCAAGCAATCAAGCACACACACAAGATGTGCATACTTTATTATGTCATTGTGTATTTTCTTTGTTTTTTGAGACAGAGATGGAGTCTCAATCCGTCACCCAGGCTGGATGCAGTGGCGCAATCTCGGCTCACTGCAACCTTCACTTCCTGGGTTCAAGCAGCTCTCCTGCCTCAGCCTCCGAGTTCTGGGATTACAGGCACTCACCACCGTGCCCGGCTAATTTTTTGTATTTTTAGTAGAGACGGGGTTTCATCACGTTGGCCAGGCTGGTCTCAAACTCCTGACCTCGTGATTCACCCACGTTGGCCTCCCAAAGTGCTGGGATTACAGGTGTGAGCCACTGCGTTTGGCCTATGTATTTTCTATTTCAGTAACGATCTAATCATGATAAATGCTACAAAGGAAGGGTGGCTGGTCTTACAAGCACATAACCTAGAGGTGGGGGTGGAAGGATAAATGAGCCAGTCAGAGATGCCTCCTATTGCCTGAGCTCTGAGGAGGGGTGTTCAAATGCACTCTGCACCCAACGTTGGAAAGAGCAGCAGATTTTCCCACTCCCCCATTCCTCTTTCAGTGTTGCTCTGATTTGTTTGTGTGCAGAAATGCTTGTTTTTTATCATTTAGCTGTTGTAGCTGGATGCACCCTCCTCACACAGGCATGTACACTTGTGTGTATGCACATGTGTATGTAAACAGAAATATGCATACTGACACACACACGCACAGGCACTCACACACACATGCACAGGCACACACGTGCACACAAGCTATGCACACGCACAGGCACTCACACACACACGCACAGGCACTCACACACATGCACAGGCACACACGTGCACACAAGCTATGCACACACGCACAGGCACTCACACACACATGCACAGGCACTCACACACACATGCACAGGCACTCACACGCACAGGCACGCACACACATGCACAGGCACTCACGTGCACACAAGCTATGCACACACATGCACAGGCACACACGTGCACACAAGCTATGCACACACATGCACAGGCACTCACAGACACACATGCACAGGCACTCACACTCACGCACAGGCACTCACACACACACACATGCACAGGCACACACACACACATGCACAGGCACTCACACACACATGCACAGGCACTCACGTGCACACAAGCTATGCACACACATGCACAGGCGCACACGTGCACACAAGCTATGCACGCACACACGCACAGGCACTCACACACATGCACAGGCACTCACACACACACACATGCACAGGCACTCACACGTGCACACAAGGTATGCACACATGCACAGGCACTCACACACATGCACACTCACACATGCACAGGCACTCACGTACACACAAGCTTGCATATGCAGGCATATTTGTGCTGACATACACACTGTTACTGTGGCCCCAAAAGCTTGCCACAATGTCCCTGCACTTTCCTTTCTTCACTGCTACTGTTGATTTACAAAACAGCCCCTTTCCTGTGAACCTAAGATAATCCATTCACCAGGCTGGCAGTCATCCATTCCTGCAGAGCAGCTTCCTCAGGGAGCCCAGTGTCCTCTCGAAGGGGCCAAGTGTGTTTTGGAATGGACACAGCAAACAAACAAGTTGATTCTGTGGCTTCCCCTCAGGTGCGTTAGGAAGGAAGAGGAAATATCCGGAGCCCAAG